TTCTTCTTCTTCTTCTTCTTCTTCTTCTTCTTCTTCTTCTTCTTCTTCTTCTTCTTCTTCTTCTTCTTCTTCTTCTTCTTCTTCCTTCTTCTTCCTCTTCTCCTTCTCCTCCTTTCATCATCATCATCAACAACAACATTATTATTTATATCCAGCTTTCATCCTATGAGAATTGCAGGCAGCTGGTATGAACTGCAAAATGCAAATCCAAAAGTAAATATGAAATTCAAAAGCAAACATTCAGTAGTAAAAGAGAACAAGGCTGCTTCAAGGACCATCTTCCAGTCCCAGGAATGACTGACAGAAGGCCAGGGGAGGATTGTCAGGTCTTCCCAGAATTGCTGAGATTCCTTGAAAAGAGAGAACTGTTTGGGCTGAAGAGCTGTATCCTCCAGCAGGAAGAAATTATATAAATTGGTAAAAACCACATTATTTCAGGCTTGGTATGGTGGTGTACACCTTTAATCCCAGCACTTGGAAGCAGAGACAGATAGACCTCTGTGAGTTCCAGGTCAGCTAGGACAGCATAGTAAGTACCTATCTCAAATTAAAAAAAAAAAAAATCATTTCCTAGATCTAAATCCAATCAAGAATTCATCTCATGGCCAGATGTGGTGATGCAGCCCTATAACACAGACAGCACTTGAGCTGTTGAGGCAGAAGGATCACGATTTACAGGCCAGCTTGAGCTACATATAAAGATGCTATCTCAAAAGAATAAAAATGAGGTCTCATCTAGGTGACACATTAAGGAATACATGGAGCAGCCTCTAAAATAAAACCCACATGGACAGACTCTTCAACATGTGGGCACTGCCCCAAAGCCTCCTTAAATAGCCAATGGGTGCAGGCACTGTTCTGGGAACCAAATGCCAAGATCTCCCTTGTTGATGGGACAGGAAGTACCTGGGCTGCATGACACAGGGCAGGTCTAGTGTGGGACAGCCTGAGGCCTGGCCTGGTCTGCTGTGTGATCCTGGCTGGGTCCATCCTGCCCTGAGCTTCTCTCCTCATGTGGAAAGCGATGTCTGTTCTGCTTCTCCCACACAAACATGGGGGATGCAGAGGTGATAACCTCCACCAGCTCGGGCACAGTTCCATGGCCTCCCCTCATTCAATAGCTGCTCCACGGACACACCCAAGCTTACCAACCCCTGGCTGCCTTAGCCAGCAGGGCAAGTAGAGGGCCAAGGCTGCCTCCCAATAGACAGAGTGAGAATTTCATTCTCCTGTGGGTCCCTCTATGTTCTCCTAAGAACGCACATTGACCTCTGCATGCCAGCATGGCTTGCCTGTGAGAGAAGCTTACCACAGGTATCAAAGACATAACCATTACCATGTCGTTGTTTATAACATGAGTTCAGCGTAGGCCTCACACTCCAGAGCTCAGCACATTTCCATGGGTCAGACGGGAGCCCCAGCAACACTGAGGAGGACAGCTATTCCCCAGCTTGCAGGGAGCCTTCCATGCTGGTCCTGGCAGATTCTAGTAGGGACAGAAAGGAGGAGTTACCAGAGCATGTCATGTGTCTTTTGGAACTGAAGTTGGAAATTTCATATCCCACATACTAGCTGAGTTTTAAGTTCCAGGTTTTGGAGGCAGCTCCAAGGCACATTCTGAGGACGTCAGAGACTTGGGGTCTAAATGGGGTCCTCGCCTGGCTTCTTTCTGTTTCTGAGATACCCAGAACAGGAAGATTAAAAAACAGAGGAAGCCCATAGCTACTCTTAACTCTTTTTATGAGAACAGGCAATATATCACTGCACTTTGTCTGATAATTGTATTACGTCTAAGGAAGTTAGGAATGCTTAAGCCTATCACTTGAAAAAAAAAAAAAACCCAGCATCAGATTATCTTTAGTGCATGTGGGAGGGGGAGTGTGTTGTGCAGGTGAGTGTGCACACATGTGCACACGTGGAAGTGACCAATCACAGCTGTCATCCTCAGGAAGACCACCCACCACCTGTGAGACAGGTCGGTCTCTGGCCTGAAGTCTAATCAGTTAGGTTAGACTGCAAGCCAGGGCTCCCCAGGGACATGATCTCTTCTTCCCTAGCATTGGGATCACATGCCCACCACACACCCATCATCAAACTCAAGTGTGGGTGGTGGCAAGGCACGCACTCTACCGACTGAGCCATGCCCCAGACCCAGGATTATTTAAAATTTCACAGTCATTACAAAAATAATACAATTCTACCTAAAAACAGAAACAAACCCTAAACAATACAGAAGAAGCTAAAGAAAATGAACTGCCAGCCCGGCTCAGTGACATCTCCCCAGAAGAGACCGTGGTAGTTTAGGCATTGTGTTGGTCTGTTTCCCACTGCTGCCACAAACATCAGAGATAGACAACTTAAAGAAGGATTTGTAATGTCTCGTGCTTTCAGGCGTTTCCATCAAAGGTTAGCTTGCTCCATTGCATTCAAGCTTGTGGGAAGACAGAAATATCAGTGGAAGGGCATGGTGGAGGAAGGCTGCTTACTTCATGAAAGCCAAAAAGCAGAAAAGGAGGATAGAAAGAAAGAAAGGAGGGATAAGGGGAGAGGATGGAAGGAGAGGAAAAGAGAAAAAGGGAGAGGGAGAGAGAGAAAAGGGAGAGGAACAAGAGGGAGAAGAAAGGGCTAGGGACAAGATAGATCCTTCTATGGCAGGCCCCCAACCTGCATCCTCCAATTAGGCCCACTGCCTAGTTTCCAATGCCACTAAGTTATGAATTCCATCGATGGATAAGTTCAGAGGCCCCATGATCCAATGACTCCGCTAAAGACCCACCTGCGGACAAGGCACTGAGAGCCAAGCTTTAAACACATGCCCCTTTTGGGGGAACACTTCATATTCAAACTATAGCTGGGATTCTTCTAGAAATGTTATGTTCACATGCCAAATGCATATAATCTACTTCTGAAAAATAAAACATGCTCAGACAAAACAAGCAATCTGGCTGGATATTTTCTACCAGATAAAGAAGATGTCCTGGTTCTATATCAGTAGTTCTCAACCTATGGGTCATGACCCCTCTTGGGGGTCAAATGACCTTTTCACAGGGTTTGCCTAAGCCCATCAGAAAACAGATATTACAATTCATAACAGTAGCAAGATTACAATTACATACAGCTAGTATGTGGAATATGAAATTTCCAACTTCAGTTCCAAAAGACACATGGCATGCTCCTCCTTTCTGTCCCTACTAGAATCTGCCAGGACCAGCATGTAGGGCTCCCTGCAAGCTGGGAAGTAGCCACAAAAATAATTTTATGGTTGGTGGTTACTACAACATGAGAAACTGTATTAAAGGGTCTCCGTGATAGGAAGGGTGAGGACCACTGGCCTGGGGAGAGAGCTGCCCAACAGAGGGCATACTTCTACTACAGAACTGTGTCCTTGAAGCTGGTCCAAATGGTAGCTTATGTT